TTTTTCCTGTTTCCAATTTGCAGTAATTCATATATTAGGACAATACTACCATGCAAAATGCAATCTTATCTAAAAAGCGGTAGTCTTTTCTCTTTAATCATCCAATTTCAGGGGGATCCAATGCTCTTCTGACCTCCATGCGGGCAAAATACCCAAAATAAAAATAAATTTTATAAAAGGTGTATGTGAACACAAACAAAACATGTTAACTTTCCTGAAGAAATTTTTACTATTAGAATAAAATTAAATCAGTTTGATATTTAAATCCCTTTACAACAGACATTCGGAGCCAGGTGTAGCCAGCTCCAGTTTATAATCCCAGCATTTGGGAGGCAGAGGCAGGCAGATCTCAGTGAGTTCAAGGCCAGCCTGGTCTACATAGTAAGTTGGGGTTACAGGGAGATCCTGTCTCAAAACCACCAAAAAAATAAAATTAAAAATAATAATATTACACACACACACACACACTTAGAAATTGTTTTTGTTAAGAAAAATTTATTTCTCTGGTGCAGTATACGTGGTGTGCCAGATCAAATACAATCAGCAAATGAATGATCAACATCCATTAATTCTGTTCTCTGCAACCCACCCTGTTACAGAAACTACGCAATAAAGAATGCTGAGATGAACAGAAGCAACAGAAGATGTATGTGCCATGAAAGGGGTTCAGTGGATGAGCTCACCATGCTATTGATAGTCCAGCAATGTCTATGTGCAGGATAGACAGGACAATCCAGAAGCTGCTCAGTCTACACAGCTGGGTGCCTCAGAAATACCATTCTGGCAGAGAAGATGTGAAGAATTCCTAGAGTCGCTGCTATTTAGTCCATGTCAGAAGGCCAATGGAGCTGCAGTCTGTCACTGGAGGATTGTTATGGCAACAGTAGCAATGACAGGATTAGGCACTCTCCGAAGGAAAATATACAAAGGCAGGAAACATTGTTTTTTCCTTAGACATCTTTATCGAGGTGCCAATCACATTATTCCTATCAGAATCAAAACTACATCTAGATGTTATGACAGCACATACACGTAAGCCAATTCATCCCTTATGTACTGGCAAAAACACCATATACTATCTATGTCTGTCAGTGACAGGTGTACATGTACCATTACAAGTATAAACACTGCCAAGGCCTTTTATGAGCCTTTCCAGGGAAGTGAGGAACAGGTAAAGCTGCCAAGAAAGCTTTCACCTAACTTGGTGTTATGTAATTGACCCTGACAAGGCTACTCATTTCACAAACACTGATGCACAGACCTCAACTAAAGGCAATCAGCTTCAAACATATACCCCCCTTTCTCAAAAAAATACTAGGGCTAGTTTTTTTAAAAAATTTTTTTAATGAGCTATTAGTAGTAAGTGCGTTGCCACAGGCCTTTAATGCTAGCTACATAGGAGGCAGGGGCAGGTAAGTATCTGTCGGGAGCCGTAGGCCCCTACCCCAGGAAATAGCAAGACCTGATTCCTGGCAAAGCTGTTTTTCAGACATCAAGGCTGGCCTGGTTTGAGATTAACCAGATGACTATACTTGAAAGCCTCTCACAAACATGTTGTTCTAACCTGGGCACTTACCGCTTGAGAGACTCCCTCATTTTCTCATGTAATTGCTAAGAAACTTTGGTATTACTCTGTAATCGTACAAGTGTAACCTCTTAATTGACTTATAACTTGCTATATAGAATTGTGGTGTTACTATGGAATTTACTCTATGACCAATTGGTGTGGTGTCATTGTGATATTCATTCTGTTAATTGAATTGCTCTACTTCAATGGAATTCTCCCTGCCAACTTCCCCCTCTCCTCACTATAAAAACTTTGTGTAGATATTCATTAAATGAGACTTGATCAGAAAGCCTGTCTTCCCCCTCTCCTCACTATAAAAACTTTGTGTAGATGTTCATTAAATGAGACTTGATCAGAAAGCCTGTCTTGTCTCCATTCTTCGCATCTCTTGTCCCTTTCCGTCCCCTCTCCTCCCTCCAGATACCCACGCTGACTGTCTCGCGGGTCGGGACAAGTATCTGTCCCACAAACCATGAAGGCCATTGTCATTACTGTTGGTTACGTGCTGAAACTAGATGGTAAGATCCTACTGCTGAGAGCCAGGTGTTACACAGATTGCTGTGGGAGAAGTGTCACCAGCAGTCCTGCTCAGCTATAAACCCCATGTGCTCCAGTACTAACAGGAGACACAGAATATGCCTCATTGTGTAATAGTGGCACAACTACTGTTGAGTACAATAAGCAGCTTTCAGATTGGATTTACAGCCCACTCCACAGTAGAAAATTCGCATCCAATATTATAAGCCAGGAACAAAACTGTGGCCAGAGTGGTAACTGGCCCCAGTAGAGAAGTGATTGCTATTGCTTTGTTAGGTCACTATGATGTGTCTCTCAAACTTCCTTCTCAGGATTTCAGATCTTGCCTAATAGATCACTACTATTGTCTGCTGCAATCCATCATGCAAGGAACTTCCTTTCACAATGGATGGTACACCACAAAGACTCAGAACCAATGATGAAGATCTGAGAAAATGTGAGTACTTCTCTGGCACGGTGGCCCAATGTTAGCCCAAGGTGGACATTCACATCCACCCCCAGACCCCTAAAGATATAAAAGCATTACAAAAACTTCTCACATAGCACTGTTGCTGTTGGGAACTGAGACAGCTCAATTCTTACCCCTGTTCTTTATATTCCTGGAGGTTTGAGACTGAGTTCCTATCCATAACTGAAGTGAACTCAGATATGAAGCATTAACAACACTTGGATTTTACATCTCTAGCATTTTTTTCCCATGAGGTGACATTGAAAGAGCACTGTGGTGTGAAACCACTCTATTGTATAATTAGGTTTGGCAACTACAGGCACTGTCACATTCACAGGGTTCTTTGCAACAATTTCCTCTTCTCATCGAAAGAAATACGAAATCTAAAGGTTTCCTCGATGCTTGCATTGATAGGGTTTTTCTCCACTATGAATTTTTGGGGGGGAGTGGAGGGAGGATCAGAGTTTAGGCCTGTTTATTTCCCCATCAAAACCATCCCATCCCAAACCAGAGTATTCAATCCAACAAATGACAACATTCAGAACCTATAATTTTAACACAATGGTTATTGTTCACATAAAGAAGACTGTGACGTCTAAAGGCTTTTCCACACAGTTCCTAGTCACAGGGTTTTGTCTAGTGTGAACTTCTTATGACTTTGAACATCACTGTGACATCTGGACTTCACCATATTGTTTACATTAATTGGGTTTTTCTCCAGTATGAATTTTTTCATGAATTTGCAGGCGACTGTATTGTCTGAAGGCTTTACCACATTGTTTACATTCATATGGTTTTTCTCCAGTGTGAATTTTCTCATGTACTTGCAGGTAACTGTATTGTGTGAAGGCCTTACCACATTGTTTACACGCATAAGGTTTCTCTCCAGTGTGTTTTTTCATGTAATTGAAGATATCTGTGCCATCTAAAGGCTTGACCACATTGTTTACATGCATAGGGTTTCTCTCCAGTATGAATTTTTTCATGTAACTGAAGATAACCATGCCATCTAAATGCTTTGCCACATTGTTTACATTCATATGGCTTTTCTCTAGTGTGAATTTTCTGATGTACTTGCAGGTAACTGTATCGTGTGAAGGCTTTACCACATTCTTTACATGCATAGGGTTTCTCTCCAGTGTGTGTTTTTTCATGTCTTTGAAGATGACTCTTGTACCTAAAGGCTTTACCACATTGTATACATGCATAAGGTTTCTCTCCAGTATGAGTTTTGTCATGTCTTTGACGATCACTATTGGATCTAAAGGCCTTACCACATTGTTTACATGCATAAGGTTTCTCTCCAGTATGAACTTTTTCATGTAACTGAAGATAACCGTGCCATCTAAATGCTTTACCACATTGTTTACATGCATATGGTTTTTCTCTAGTGTGAATTTTCTCATGAACTTGCAGGCGACTGTATAGTGTAAAGGCCTTACCACATTCTTTACATGCATATGGTTTCTCTCCAGTGTGTGTTTTTTCATGTCTTTGAAGATGACTCTTATACCTAAAGGCTTTACCACATTCTTTACATGCATAGGGTTTCTCTCCAGTGTGTGTTTTTTCATGTCTTTGAAGATGACTCTTATACCTAAAGGCTTTACCACATTCTTTACATGCATAGGGTTTCTCTCCAGTGTGTGTTTTTTCATGTCTTTGAAGATGACTCTTATACCTAAAGGCTTTACCACATTCTTTACATGCATAGGGTTTCTCTCCAGTGTGTGTTTTTTCATGTCTTTGAAGATGACTCTTATACCTAAAGGCTTTACCACATTCTTTACATGCATAGGGTTTCTCTCCAGTGTGTGTTTTTTCATGTCTTTGAAGATGACTCTTATACCTAAAGGCTTTACCACATTCTTTACATGCATAGGGTTTCTCTCCAGTGTGTGTTTTTTCATGTCTTTGAAGATGACTCTTATACCTAAAGGCTTTACCACATTCTTTACATTCATAGGGTTTCTCTCCAGTATGAATTTGTTCATGAAATTGCAGGTAACTGTGTTGTCTATAGGCCTTACCACATTGTTTACATGCATATGGTTTCTCTCCAGTATGAATTTTTTCATGTAACTGAAGAGATCTGTGCCATCTAAAGGCTTTACCACATTGTTCACATGCATAGGGTTTCTCTCCAGTGTGCGTTTTTTCATGTCTTTGAAGATCACTATTATATCTAAAGGCTTTACCACATTCTTTACATTCATAGGGTTTTTCTCTGGTATGAATTTTTTCATGTCTTTGAAGATTGCTGTGATCTGTAAAGGCCTTCCCACATTGTTTACATTCATATGGTTTTTCTCCGGTATGAATTTTTTCATGTAACTGAAGAGATCTGTGACATCTAAAGGCTTTACCACATTGTTTACAGTCATATGGTTTTTCTCCAGTATGAATTTTTTCATGTACATGAAGATCTCTCTTACATATAAAGGCTTTACCACATTCTTTACATTCATAGGGTTTTTCTCCGGTATGAATTTTTTCATGTCTTTGAAGATTGCTGTGATCTGTAAAGGCCTTCCCACATTGTTTACATTCATAGGGTTTTTCTCCAGTATAAGTTTTTTCATGTAACTGTAAGGAACTAGTATATGTAAAGGAATTATCACATTGTTTACCTGCATGGGG